GCTGCAAAGATAGGGATGTCCAAAATAGACCTAGATTGGAAACATAAGGGAGAGTTATTCCTAGCTCGATGGGCCCATGATGCCTCAGGTCACCAGGGCAGAGATGCCACCTATAAGTGGGCATGAGACCGAGGAGTGGATCTAACCATGGACAGTATTTCTCAGGTTATCCATGACTGTGAGACGTGTGCTGCCATCAAGCAGGCCAAGCGAGTGAAGCCCCTGTGGTATGGTGGGCGGTGGTCCAAGTACAAGTATGGGGAGGCCTGGCAGATTGACTACATCACACTGCCCCAGACTCGCCAGGGCAAGCGCTACGTGCTGACAACGGTGGAAGCCACCACTGGATGTTTGGAAACCTACCCTGTGTCTCATGCTACAGCCTGGAACACCATCCTGGGCCGTGAAAAGCAAGTTATGTGGAGACATGGCACCCCTGAGAGGATTGAGTCAGACAATGGGACTCATTTCAAGAACAGTCTTATCAACGCCTGGGCTAGGGAACATGGCATTGAGTGGGTGTACCATATCCCCTACCATGCACCAGCTGCAGGAAAAGTGGAGAGGTACAATGGACTACTAAAAGCCCAGTTGAAAGCTTTGGGTGGGGGATCTTTCAAGAATTGGGAGCAGCATCTGGCAAAAGCCACCTGGTTAGTTAACACCCGAGGTTCCACCAGCCGAGCAGGTCCTGCCCAGTCTGAGTCCGTGAATGTAATAGAAGGGGACAAAGTCCCAGTGGTACATATCAGAGGTTTGTTAGGGAAGACTGTGTGGATCAATTCTGCCTCGAGTGCAGACAAACCCATTTGTGCGGTTGTCTTTGCTCAGGGACCAGGTTGCACGTGGTGGATAATGCAAAGAGATGGAACAACACGATGTGTACCTCAGGGTGATCTGATTGTGGGGTAAGAATGATATGGGGATAAGGGGTGGAATGTCCTGGGGTGACGTTATGATGCTCGTATCCCCATCCATCTGTTCTGTGCCTTTAAGACCGGCTCTGAAGAGTTCAAGTTTTGTTTGGGTTTCTCTTATCAGGGACACAGAGACAAGCGGTACATAAGGCTGTTTTTTCACTTCCGGCTTCAGCTTGCTGCTTTTGCTTGCTCTCTTTTTCTGCTCTTGCTTCTGCTCGGCTTTCGCCTCTGCTGATTAGCTAGCTTAGCTAAACATTCCTTCCCGGACTGTTTCTCCTCTCCTGTTTCTGTGACCATCTCGAACCTGCTCCGGACTGGGACCCGAGAACACTGACGGTTCGGCTGCAGCAGCTGCCCCAGCGCCAGAGGGACTGAGAACAGAGCAACCACCCCCCGGAAGAGACTTTCTGATTTTGTCATCTTTCTCACAGCGGTGTCATTGGGTATTGTTCATTTTGTGTGCTGGGGGGTGCTGGGCCAGTCAAATAAACAGGTTCTTTCCACCTCTCTCCAAGGAATTTTTTCCCGAACCGGTTGTGGGGAGGGGCCGTGTGGGTTTCGCTTTCTGGAGGGGCCCTCCTTTGCAGATTCTTTAACAAATTTGCCCTAAAGCGGGACACTCTGAAATGGAAAAGCAGGAAACAGCCAGCAAGACCTTTGCTACTGCTGCTGAAGACATGGAAAACCAGAAGGGGTTCAGAATCCTTTTCAGTGATTAAAGGAGCAGGAAAGGTTGTGCAGAAGCATCCTTGCTTGCTGGAGAAGGAGGAAATGAACACAGAAACCACTCCAAGCGACCCAAGAAGCCAGCAAGCCAGCAAGGCATCCAGCTACAAGATGGAAGTATCACACACTCCCCTGTCTAAAGAACTTGGATTCACTGGGGGGCATGTTTAGTAGGGAAACGGCCCATGTGGTGAGCACTGTCGTGTAGGCATTGATGGAAGTCTGCCCGAAGATCCCTCATGAGCCTCCCATTGTCCAGGATAAAATTCCCTCAGCACCTCCTCACTGGCCTTGTGCTGCACTCCTTTGCCCAGCTCTCCTGTCCTCCTGTGCAGATGGTGCAGCCCCTCCATGACTTTCTGCTTCCCAGGGCCCACAAGTGCACACAGCACTCCAGCTGTGGCCACAGCGCTGCCCAGCACAGGGCCACCTCACTGCCCTGCTCCTGCTGCCCCACTGCTGCTGACACAGGCCACCATGCCTTTGGGCATTCTTGGACACCTGGTCCCAGGCTGGCTCTTCTTCAGCTCATCTTCTACCGCACCCCTATGGCCTTTGGACCATGCAGCTCTCCTGCCACAGATTTGATCATTTGACTTCCAATACAATATCCACCATTTCTAGATGGCCTTCTTGTTCTGAGCAACACAAGACAGCAGTCAAGGACTTGCAGCTTCACCTTCACTCCAGGCTCCAAGGCACTTGACAAAGCTGCAGACTTCATCACTCAATGCAGCAACACAAACTTGCTGCGTCTGTTTCCTTGCATCACAAGGAGGCTTCATAATTGCTCACTTTCTTTCTTTGGCCACATGGGATAAGAATGTCCCCCCACAACTTCATGGACCACAGAACCATCTCCTTGCAGCTTGTCAAAAGCCAAAAGGCACTTGGCCCGAAAGTCTTGACAGACGTAAGCAGTAATTCGAGAAAATTAGAGACCAGTTTCACAATAAAAAACACAACATTCCAAAACTGGAAATCAAACAAAGAAAGTCCTGTAACCTCCAGTACTACCACGTGCGCCTTCGGCCACAGTGCTCCAGAGGCCCAGAGACAGAGCTTCCCTGAGCCAAGGAGCCAGATGATCTGCCAGAGGAAACATCCCTTTGGGGCCTCAACATCACACGTCAAAGGCCAAGTTCTGCTGTCACTGTCTGCAGGAAATCCCTAGCTCCTGGCAGGACTCCAGCACTCAGCATCCTCAGCCAGGAACAGGAAGCACTGGCGGCTCTGACACTTGTACCTCTGCCCTGCACTAAAGACAGCACCATCCACAACTGGCACTTACAGGCTCCGAATATCCAGGCTCTGGTGTGACCAATGACGGAGTCTGGCGTTCATCCTTCTCAATTTGCTCCTCTTGAGCTTCTTCTCCAGGAGCAGAGGGAGCCAGGGGAGAGACAGCTGTTGGTTCTGTCAGCTGTGGCAAGAGAGGAGCATGAGGCACAGGCCATCACCTATCATTCAGAACCTTATTTCTTTTCAGATCTACAACTACATCTTCTAAGGAAAATTCAGAACATTTCATACCAACATTGGCATTATAAGTCACACAGACTAAATCAAATTGGGCCACCTAAAAAGAACTGTGGATGGCTATAAGGTTGATATTGCTCTCTGGCTGCTATCAGCAAGAAACGATGTTGCTGTAAACCGCAACTTTTTGTTCCTAATATTCCCTCTGAAATGGAAAAGTAGGAAAGCGACAGCAATGCCTTTGCTACTACTGCTACAAATATTGAAAACTCAAACTGAATCACAGTCTCATCCAGTACTGCAAAAAGGCAGGAAAAGTTGTACAGAAGCATCTTTGCTTACTGGAAAAAGAGAAAATAAACAAGGCAAACCTCTCCTAGCAATCCACCAAGCCAGCAAGGCACAAGATGGAAGTATCCCCTGTCTAAAGCACTTGGATTGAATGAGGGCATGTTTAGTAGGGAAATGGCCATAGTGGTGAGTACTGTCATGTAGGGATTGATGGAAGTCTGCCTGAAGGTCCCTCATGAACTTCCCATTGTCCAGACTAAAGCTCCCTCAGCACCTCCTCAATGGCCTTGTGCTCCACACCCTTGCCCAGCTTTCCTGTCCTCCTGTGTGCACACTGCAGCCCCTCCATGACTTTCTGCTTCCCAGGGCCCACAAGTGCACACAGCACTCCAGCTGTGGCCGCAGCGCTGCCCAGCACAGGGCCACGCTCACTGCCCTGTTCCTGCTGCCCCACTGCTGCTGACACAGGCCTCCATGCCCTTGGCCTTCTTGGACACCTGGTCCCAGGCTGGCTCTTCTTCAGCTCATCTTCTACCGCACCGCTGGGGCCTTTTGACCCACATAGCTCCCCAGCCGCAGAGTTGCACATTTGATGTCAAATACAGCATCCACCATTTCTAGATGGCCTTCTTGTTCTGAGCAACGCAAGAAAGCAGTCAAGGATTTGCAGCTTCACCCCACTCCAGACTGAAATGCATTGCCAAAACTGCAGACCTCATCACTTTATGCATCAACACAAACTTGCCCAGTGATGCTTTTTGCCTCACCAGGACGATTCATAACTGCCCATTTTCGTTCTTTGGCCACACAGAATAAGAATGGGCCCCCACAACTTCATGGACAACATAACCATGTCAAAAGCGAAAAGACATTTGGCAGAAACATTTTTGGAGAACTGACGAAGAAATCAAGAAAACTGCAGACCAGTTTCACAAGAAAAAGGCACCATTCCAAAATGGGAAAAAGAACAAACAAAGCCCTAGACCTCCAGAACTGCCACGTGCACCCCTGGCCATGGCACTACAGAAACCCAGAGACAGAGCTTCCCTGAGCCAAGCAGCCAGATGCTCTCCCAGAGGCACCAGCCCTTTGGGGCCTCAACTTCACAGGTCAAAAGCCAAGTTCTGCTGAAGGTGCCTGCAGCAAATCCCTAGCTCCTGGCAGGACTCAAGCACTCAGCATCCTCAGCCAGGATGATGGCTGCTCCTAAAATTGCACCTCTGCCTTGCACTAAAGACAGCACCAGCCACAGATGGCACTCACAGGCTCAGGATATCCAGGCTCGGGTGTGACCAATGACAGAGTCTGGCGCTCATCCATCTCAATTTGCTCCTCTTCGGCTTCTTCTTCAGGAGCAGTGGGAGCCAGGGGAGAGACAGCTCCTGGTTCTGTCAGCTGTGGCAAGAGAGAAGCATGAGGCACAGGCTGTCACCTATCATTCAGAACCTTATTTCTTTTCAGTTCTTCCACTACATCTTCTAAGGAGAAATCAGAACATTTCATAGCAACATAGCAGTTCTATGTCCCACAGACTAAAATAAAATGGGCCACCTAAAAAAAACTGTGGATGGATATAGGTTGATACTGCTCCCTGACAGCTATCAGCAAGCAACGCTATCTCTGTAAAACACAACTTTAACTTCTTGAAAGCACTGAAATGGAAAAGCAGGAAAGAAACAGCAACACCTTTGCTGCTGCTGCTGCAGACATGGAAAACTAAAACTGGATTAGAATCCCATCCTGCGCTTAAAAAGGGCAGGAAGTGTTATGCAGAAGCATCTTTTCTTGCAGGAAAAGGAGAAAANAAGTGCTGGCTGCTCTGAAACTTGCACCTCTGTCTTGCTCTAAAGACAGAATCACACACAACTGGCACTTACGGGCTCAGGATATTCAGGCTCTGCTTTGACCAGTGATGGAAACATGAGCTCGTCCGCCTCAATTTGCTCCTCTTGGGCATCTTCTCTAGGAGCAGAGGGAGCCAGGGGAGAGATGGCTGTTGGTTCTGTCAGCTGTGGCAAGAGAGGAGCATGAGGGACAGGCTGTCACCTATCATTCAGAACCTCATTTCTTTTCTTATTTACTACCACATCTTTTAAGGAGAAATCCAGAATTTTTATAGCAGTGTCATTTTAAGTCGCAATGACTGAATTATAATATGCTTATTCAAATGCCCTGCAAATTGCTCTTATTTAAGTATTTCACTCTGCCTATTATCAGGTGGCAATGTTCTATTGGTAAAACTGTGCTTCTATTTCTTCAAAATTCTGAAATGGAAAAGCAAGAATTTGGAAGTGATGCCCTTGTTTCTGATCAAATTGGATTTTTTCTGGCTTTCCAACTGGCCTTCTGCATTCTACTGCTATTGGCCATACTCACTTCTGGGTCTCCAATTCTTAAACACCACGAACATGGAATCTCCCTTTCTCACTCACCTCATGATCAAAACCGATGAATACATGCCTGAGGTGACCTGTAGTGGGAGAGAAAATGAACAAGATGCTGTGAGAAAACTGCTTCGGGTGCTGAATCCCACAGAACAAGTCAACCCAAACAGAGATGATCTCCCGTTTCACAAAATCCCTCCAAAAGACACATTTCATTCACACAGATCAGGACAATATTCTTACTTGTGCCTACACTTTGGCCTGTTTTGCCAGTAAATGAATACAAATATGATCAAGAAAATGCGAATTCATCTTTAACACTCAATGCTCCTGTTCTACCAAACACATCAAGCAGCTTTACCTCTCCCTCAGGTACTTTAAAAAAAAAAAATCAGTTGCATGCACTAATTTTCATTAATTCTCTTGCTGGAAACAGTTGCCCAGGAAAGCTTCCCCAAAATCCCCCTGAGCTGTGGCACCTCTATTGTGAAACAGCACAGCAGCAGCTCCAGGGTTCTGGAGCAGACACACAGTGTTTTGGAGTTTGCATTTCCTGGCAAATGGAAGACCACGATTTTAGCACTCAGTAAAAGATTAAGTTAGACAGTCAAATCCTTTCAGGAGAAAATTTAGAAAGAAAGAAACTTTCCCTGAATTCTGGGAACAACTGCAGAGTTTTTAGGAGGCCCTCCAAGAAGGTCTCCCATTCTACATTTCCAAAGGTGTCTTGGTATCCCAGTAAACTGAGGAAATTACAGACTCTGCTGCCACGGACTCTCCTGTGGAGGGAATGGAAGCCCTGCAGGTTCCCTTGCAAATGTTGCCCCTGTGGCTACAGAAACCCTCTTTTTAGCTGAACTACTTGAAAGGACCTTTATCAAACCAGTGTCATTCTAATACTCTTTCTGTTTCAAAATCAGAAACTCTGTCACAAAGAAAGAGCAGGAAGATATACAAAAGCCAGGTTAGGTTACACCCAGGGAAAACCTCTACTTACGTGCCAGGTGAGTCAGATAATAGGCAGAATAATAAAGCGCGTAAGCCCCAAAAACTGCAGCCCTGAGATCCTCCATCCCTGTGGCACTGGTCTAAAAGTGTGCTGGCTGTGCTCACACAGTTGGAAAACAACGGTTCTCGTCAGTGCACAGCTACCCCCGACAAATGCCTTAACCAGGAGGATGCTCCTGCTCTCAGCAAGACCTACAGCTGCTCTGACACTCAGGCCTTCCGTGCACCAAGGCAACCTTCTGATGTCACTGTGACGACGCGGAAACCATGCCCTGACATCACAAAGCAAACGTTCTATGTTTCTCTGTGAATTTATGCCAAGCAATAACCAACCTTCCCTACAGCAAACAAAAATAGCCTGCAAAGTTCTCCTCTGTCAAAAAGCAGCACAAATTCCCCTCACGGGCCAAACCCTGTTGTTCAAGGGATCCAAGAGCAACTCCAAGAGTGCACAAAGCACCTACAGCCTGGACCCCAACTGAGCACTCAGATGGGACCCAAGCAAAGGAAACCAGACCAAGAAAATGGCCCACAGCATTGCACAGAACCAGGAGAGAAGCCACTGCTGGCATACCAGCTGAAATCATTCCTAAAAATCTCCCCACATATTTGCAAATTATTGGACATGCCCAGGGCAATGGTGCCTATATATCTGTGCCTTTATTCCCCTTTGGAAGCAGTCGAACTGGCAGCATCTGCCCGCCCGCAGGAGCTGCTCCAGGCTGGGAACGCGACTGGCGGTGCTGATTTCCAGAGGCTTCTGTGTCCCAGGGGAAGCCAAGGCAGGAGTGGTTTGAACGGTGCTGCTGCTGCTGCTGCTCTGTGCCAGAGAGCCCCGGCTGGGCAGGGCACGGTGCCCACTGCGCTGCGGGCTCCTTCTCCTGCCACAGCTGGGCACACCTGGAACAAGGCATGACAACTTGTGGGCAAACCAAGGGGTTTCTGGGGCTGCTCTGCTCTGCACACACTCAGGACACCTTGGCTCCCAAAAAGGTCCACCAGAGGAAAACATAAGGTGAAAATGTTTCATTTTGACCTTTCTTACCTGTGAACAGAAGTTGCCAAAATGAAATTTACCAAGCAGGGCCTGATCCCTGCTGCCAGCTCAGGGTTAGAAAGGAGGCATTACTGTATTTTAGTACTCGGTGCATAGGGAATCACTTCTCTGACATATGCACAGCCAGTAATCTCACTTACTACTTTGTACCCATGGAATTAAGACATATTCAATACTTTGTGGAAACTCACAGGCTAAACAGTACTCCAATTTATCAAACACATTTCTATTACGTCTCAGAATTTATTGACATCAGAGCAGGAATGTTCTGTAGGTCCTTGGTGGTCACTGTCACACGTTCAGGAGGACACCGGTGCACGAAAGAACCTAAGCCACAACCGGGCCTGCAAAGCAAATAATACATATCAACCTCTGGATTCCCAAAAATCTCCTGAGTAGGAGAACGAGATGGATTGTGGTGCCCCTGCGGCACCAGGGGCAGGTAGGCAGTGCACTTCCAGGACATCCCCTAGATCAAAACGCTGTGCATCTCATCCTTCTCACCCCTCCACCCTAGAACCAGGCCCTGTATCTCCTGTTCAGGAGTGGAATTTTCCCAGTTACAGCATCGGCCCACACATGGCCAGTGTGTGAGATGAGGCCATGATGGCTCAGGATACCGACTCCCTGCCACCAAGGGCTCCATCATGCACTGCTCCCCTTTCAAAGCCTGACTGCCCACCGATTGACCAATACATTGTTTCTCTTTCAAGGGTGTCCTGGCCTGACTATATCATGCTTGTATCCCCAGTCATCTGTTCTGGTTTTGCTGAATAATAAGTTTTGCACCTTTAAGACTTGTTCCAAGAGTGAAGAGGGGGAGAGAAGAAGCACTGAGATTCTTTTCAGGAACTTCACTCACTCCTCCACATTCCTGCTCCTGGACTGTGATGTCTGTGGATGGACAGACAGCAGGACAGAGTTCTCCTTCGCTTTTAGGTAGTTTTAGCTAATTGAGGCAAAGAAGTTCCCTGGACTGTGGGGGTTTTTTTCCCCTTTTCTTTGGACCTCTTTAGACCTTCTCCAGACTGAACACCAGAAGAGCACTGGCAGCTCACACATGTGACCCACCAAGCCGGACCTGGGCCGCAGCATTTCCAGCACCCCTGGGACTGACAGGAGACTGAGTGAGCTGAGCCACAGCCCACACAGGAGACTTTCTGAATTTGTCTCTCTTTTGGAGCGGCAAGAGGTTTTATTGTTTAATATTGTTTAGGTTTTATTGCTTAATAAACAGTTTTTTTCACTCTTCTCCAAGGAGGTATTTTCTCCCAAACTGGATGACAGAGATTAATGTGCTTTCTAGAGAAACTCCTTCGGGGGTTCTCTCCCAAATTTTCCCGCAACCGGGACAAAGGGTCAAGTTCCCACCCATTGAAAAAGATGCTTTTCTTCATTGCCTTGTCAACCTGCTCAAACATGGACCAAATATTACAGGGTCTTGGACACAGTTGTTAAAGAAATGCCTCAAATTCTCCTTTACTAGTCATGAGCATCCTAAAAACACTTTCTTCTCTTGAATGCATTCCACCTACCTTCATAGAAGGACCATTCTCTTTATTCTCAAGGTCAAGACAGACACTTGCACACATTAAGAACTGCAATGAGGGAATACAGGGTTCAGCACTGCCTGTTAAAACTCAAGGAATTCACAAGACTAAGCCCCATTTGTCACCCTTTAACATTTTCCCAACACCTCTCCTTCCTACTCTGGGAATCAAACACAAACCTTTTGCCAAGAAGTCCTGCACGTGCTTTTGCTGAGTGAAGACACATTGCATCCTTCCTTCAGAAATTAATGAAGAAAACACAAATTGCCTACCGCAACCCTTCTGCTCCCTTTCTAATCAGTTTACTACTCAAGCAAAACCCTCAGGCACATCCCTGATTCCCTCTCTCCCAGCAGCTCAGAGCTGCATTGCACAGCGCTTGCTGTGTGCCAGAGAGCACAAAGTAGGCTGGCCTGGTGGGCCTGAATATTCCTGCAAAACACTCTGCATCTCACACCTTTGCTCTGGCTCAGTGCAGAACTGCAGGATTGCAGGCGCTTCCTCCCAGAACTACATGAGGCGCTGGATCCTCATGTAGTGCCCTGCCAAGCTGTCCCTGCCTCACGCTGGCCTCGCTTCCCCTGGCACAAGAGGCGGGCCTGAAGGAGGCTGCCCTGTGCTCCAGCCTGCCGAGCAGCCCGGCTCCCTGCCCCGGTGCCCAGAGTGCTGCACACACTGATGACCTTTGCCAGGAGTTGCAGGGCAGCCGGCAGAAGAGGAGGAATCCTCAGGCAGCCCCAATGGCCCTCGGCTGCCCTGGGCCTTTCTCTGCTCCTGGGCACACTCCAGACGGCCAATGCCTCCAGGCTGGGCTGTGCCCAGCACGGCTGCGCTTCCCCTCGGCAGCAGCCAGCTGCCACCTGGGCTCTGAGAGCGGAGGATTTGCCCGCTGCCAGGAACAGGCACCCAGGGCCCGGCTGCTGCCTCTTGCAGCTCCAAGGGCCTCCTTCCAGCCTGCCTCTGCTGGGGCTCAGCCTGCTCCGGCCTCTGCCGGGGCTCTGCTGGGGCTCCACCCCGGCCAAGGCCGGGCCCCCTCTCACCTCCCAGGCACTGACAGCTCTGCACCACAGGAGACCTTCCCGAGAACCCTCTCTGATCTTTCTGCTTTCTCACTTCAGCAAGGCTCTCCTTCTGCCAAAGACATTGCATTTAGGGATACAAATCCAAGTGACAGGAACCTAAATGCTCTTGAGTGACGACTGAAGGCCTGAATCCCCACAGGGTGTTTGGGCTGCCCCACTCCTCCTTTGATTAAATGCCATTGCCTTTTCTGCCTCAACTAGAAATATCTTAGCTAGGCAAAAACCTGCTAGTGGGCCGTATTCCAAAGGCAGTCTGGTATGAAGATGATGAATGAAGATCCTTCCCCACTTTCAAGGCACACCAAAGAAGCCATAAATGTCATTTTGTACCTTTAAGAGAAAACTGACAACTCAGAAGGAAATGCTGAGTTTATTCACAGGGTGAGAAAGAATGGAATCTTCCAGATGAGTTGAAGTTTTTGACAATTTATTGATTCACAATCCTACTCTATAATCCTACTCTACAGTCCTACTCTAAGCTAGTTATGGAGTAAATGGTCCTGATGTCATTATCACAGTGTTAATGTCTCCTTCCCCCTCTTCATTGAAATTATGAGTGGTACCAGGAGGGAAGCCAGTTGGCTTTTTGACAGCTGCCTCCTGCCAAGAAACAGCTGCAGGACAGTTTTCCCAGACAGTTGAACAAATAGGGGAGAGCTATGGGGAGAGGAATGAAGCACAGGGATAGGGGAATAGGGGAGAGAAATGAAGCAGGCTCGGCTGATATTACAAATGGATGCTGCTCACAAATAAAACCCAAAACAATAAAGAACAATGAAGCATGATTTTCAAAGCTCAAGTGCTTTACAGGCTCCATGAGAATTCCTCTAGTTCCTAGAAAGATGCAGAATGAGGAGCGTCGGGACAATCTGCACCTCCATCTTCATGTGCAGGACCTTGCCATCACAGATAAACCTGGCCCAGAAACACACTCATCCATTTATTCTGGTTGCTTCATTTTGCTGGGATTTTTGTCCTGCCAGTGCTCTAGAAATTGTGCTTTCTGTCCCTGGGGTTTCTTCCTCTCAGGAAACTCAGGATAACAAAAACAAAATAAGGCAACAGAAACCATCAGAAAAGAGAGTACCTCTTGGTGGGAATTCTCAGAATAAGAGGGTTTTGGGAAAGCTGCAAAAGACAGGCCTCAGAGACTGTAGAACTGTGAATAGAGCTGAGCAGTAGCCATCAGTTTTGTCAGCAGAAAAATTATATAAGAAGTAGAAAAGCAAGGACAAATAGAACACTGGTGCATGTATTAATGCTTGTCTAGAATAAGTCTGTAAGCTTCAGAAAAGTATATCTAGCAAGATATGAGGAACTTGTAAGCTTAATAGCAGAGTTCTGTGCGTTGTGTTTTAAGGCTTACAAGCAGGTAT